ACCTCTTAATGATCCAGATGTTGCCTCTTAATTAAATTATTAAGAGGTAAACAAGCAACCCATGTGACGACGACAGTGGCGTGATGGTGGTCGGGTGACTGGGATTGGGTGGATGTGACGGCGACAGTAATGGCATGGTGGTTAGTGGTGGGTTGGGGTGGTTTTGGGGTGAGTGACAATTGCGACGACGACAATAATGGTGTGGTGGTGGGGGTTAGATTATGAGCGTGACAGCAACGGTAGTAACATGGTTGTAGTAAGGATGTGTAGTGAGTGACCGGGGGTGGGTGAGTGTGATGACAACAATAGTGGCATGGTGATAGTGGTGTGATAGGGTAGGGTAGGGTGGGTGGCGGTGACAGTAGTGGTGTGGTGGTGGGGGGGGGGGTTAGGAGTGGGGCATGACGAAGAATAGTAGCATGGTCGTGGTGAATGGTGATAGAATTCAATTCCTTTCATTACGCCAAAGAATGATGAATTCATTAATTTTGTGGAATTCAATGGAATATATTGCCCTAATACAATCTATTGAATCGTGTGATATATTGTTTTCGACTTTCTCCTCCTCCTATTACTCCCTATCGGATATTGTGTTACGGTCGTTGATTACATGCTTATCACTTCCACGATGATTGATGATCGTGTTATATAACTAAGCACAGTTTTATTTCAAAATGTGTGTATTAAGCTGAACTGAAGTTATGGATATCGTTACGCAAATACGAGATATATTGGCATCTTGCAAACAAGCAGTATTAAACAATCAAACACGTGTCATATGATATCTCAATAGAAAATTTGAACCAAGTATACTGATTGTAGTATGTACTGTGTACCGATACATGGCCTAACACATGTATACATAAATTAATCATGGATATATGAACATCGTACCGTAAAACTCTAAACACATATCATATGCATAAATCACTTTTGAAAATACTAAGCATTCTTTAAAATATTAAATACAACGTTATTCTTGATTGTCATACATATTTAACATAAAAACTCAAATAAAATATAAATACTATATTATAAGGTATGTGAGATAAACTCTTAAAAATTATTTTTAATGCATCAAGTACTCGTTATCGATGCATATTACTTAAAATTCAAGATTATAAATAAGTTGGGTCTAAATATAACTTATTTAAACTCCATTGAATTCATTTGACTAACTGTAGATAAACATCTCATTTTGAATATAAAAAATATAAAACATAATAAGAACAATGATTGAGTTCTAACAAAATATTTAATTATTATCTTTATAGAAAAAAATATACTATTAAACCGAAAACAAATTACTTCTTTATTAAATCTAAATTAAATTAAACAAATTACAAAAAAAAACGAGAACTTTTAAATAATTAATTTAAGGGAAAAGTCTAAAAAAACCCAATGGACTTTAGTGTTTGGAATGATTAAGTCCTTGGACAATTTTTTGGAACAAATAAATCATTGGACATTCCAAAACATATTAAATAACTTCTTGGACTTTCTAAAACCTGTTACATACATTCTTATTACCTATACAACTGGTTAATGTGATAAAATAATGAAAAAATCCGAAAAAAATAATGAACATTCATATTTTGAACAATTAAGTCCCTAAGCATTTTTTGAACAAAAAAATATTTAGATTTATAAAATCAAACAGATATAATAAAAAATACTTACATTTACAAAAAAAATTACATTTAAAAAAGATTTTTGATAAAATTTATTTTAATTAAAATTAATATTTTGTCAGTGATTTTTCAAACTAAAAAAAATAATTATTGATTAAATTTATTTTAATTAAAAATAAAATATATCACGTATGTGATTTTTCAAATTAAAAAAGAGATTTAAAAAGATTACTGGTAAAATTTATTTTATTTTTTGTTAAAAATAAAATATATTTTTATTTTTAAACACTAGGGAGATTCGTGCTCCTCCCCGAGAAGCACTCTCTGTTATGTTCTCTCTCTCATTAAAACAAATTTCATCAGTAATCATTTTAAACTTTTTTTTAATTTGAAAAAATCATATATGAAATATATTTTATTTTTAATTAAAAATGAATATAACCAGTAATCCTTTTTAAATCTCTTTTTATTTTTTTTTAATTTGGAAAATCACTGACATAATATCTTTTATTTTTAATTAAAATAAATTTTATCAATAATCTTTTTAAATGTAAGTATTTTTTGGTATATTTGTTTTATTTTATATAATGTAAGTACTTTTTTGGTTCAAAAATGTTTAAGGACTTTATCGCTCAAAATATGAATGTTCAATGACTTTTTTTCATTTTTTTCCGTTATTTTACTACGTTAATTAGTTTTATAGGTCATAAGAATGTATATAACATGTTTTAGAAAGTCTAAGAAGTTGTTTAACAGGTTTTGGAACGTTCAAGGACTTATTTGTTCCAAAAAATTGTCCAATGACTTAATCATTCCAAACACTAAAGTCCATTGGGTTTTTTAGACTTTTCCCTTAGTTTTATAGGTCATAAGAATGTATATAACATGTTTTAGAAAGTCCAAAGAGTTGTTTAACAAGTTTTGGAATGTCCAAGAACTTATTTGTTTCAAAAAATTGTCCAATAACTTAATCATTTCAAACACTAAAGTTCATTGGGTTTTTTTAGACTTTTCCCTTAATTTAATACTAATATCAATATTTTTTTTTCTTCAAATTTATATTTTATTCAAATATAAAAACATATATTTTCACAAAAGCGCATAAAACCGTATTATAACATCGACAGAGATAAAAAATAAAACAAAACATTAAAATCAAGATATATCTTACTACATTATATAAATATCCTTCAGTCCTATAATATATCATATATCCAACACAAAAATCTCAAAATGAAATATTGTCCTAAACAAAGCCCACATAAACATAACGTACTTAATTGTTTTTTTATTTTATTTTTAAATTTTCCATTAAATATTAAAAAATATCTTAATCCAATAGAAGAAGACCAAAACAATTAATGCTTGTAACAAATACTCCTACACTGACACCATATCCAACCTATTTAAATGCAAATTATTTAATGGAAAAGAAATCCATTTAATAGTATTTATTTTAAAAAATATATAGAAATTTCTATTTCATTTAAGTATTAATTAAATATATGGAATATAATGTAATAATGATAACTAAATGGATTTACTAAATTTGGATTAGTACTAACAATTTTAATAACAATGTATTTTTGTACGCGTACGGTATACAGGCTGCTCTTTCTTATGACTCGTAATTTCGATCATCGTTTTTTTATTCGAGCACATGTCAGTCCATCTAGAAAGACAACAAATTATACGTGTAAAATTGTTGGCACATGATATGGTTTATTTGATCCTTATACACCTTTGTGGTCGGTGCTCCAATAGGCCTACCAAAACCCTATCGAAATAAATGATTGTCGCGTTGTATCATAGCAAATGCATATTCTTTTTATAGATCATAGAAATCGTGCTTTTTCTGTTTAATAAATAAGACGATAAATTTGGTGGTCTTCAAATGTTTATACTTTGAGTAAATAGTGCAGATTAAATCGACGATGTAGGTCAAACATCACAAATGTCATGGTTGACTCTTGTGTGTAGATGAACATTTGGATAGGAACCAGTATACTGGACATGATAAAGACTGATCCATTGTGTCATCAGTCTAGATTAGACCAGACCATTTCGAACCAGTTTTTTGGACCATTATTTTGTTTTTGAACCTTTAAATTTAACAACATAACAGTTATTTAACAATACACGAATTGTTCATCTAAATACTGATTTTGGTTAAAATAAGAATAAATAAAGTTTGATGGATTCAAATCAAGCTAAATGTAGACCTATCTTGTCATACATACACATCGATACTAAAGTCCAGTAATGCAACCAACTTCGTCGTCAAAGGCATGAAATCACCCTCGTTCGCTTTATTCAAAGACGGCATAATCAATAGTTAGATAAGTTAGGTGGTTGTCAAAATGGACTGGGTCGAACTAGACCCGTCAATACTTCCTTTTTTTTTATTTTTTAAATTTCATAAATAATTAGCTATTAAATTAATTATATAATTCTTATTATATAAAGCAATTTGAGAGATCGTAAGAGATCCGAGCACATTTTCGTTCTTTTAGCTAAAGTTTTTAGTTTTACCTATACAAATATATTTAAACTATCACATCTAAATTCATAGGGGCTTTCTTTAATCCATTTTTTTTATTAACCTGGATATTCAACCCGTTTTGCGAGCCGACTAATCCCAAGACGATCACCTGCTTTGTAGATAGTCCGAAGTCACAACATTTGAACCTCCACGGCGACAAGAGGATTTTTATTACTCATTGTATTTGAACATGTGACCTCCTGATACTTTTGACCTTTAGAGTCAAGCTCAAACTAATCAAGCACCACCCTTGTGGTTCCCAATCTTTTTAATCAAAACAAGAAAGTTATAAAACCGAACCCTTGAGACCACCTTCTTCAACTCCAGGATGTGACGAGTTGACATCGAGGTGCCAAACGACTTAAGAGCTCTTGGAAGCCATCAGCCTGTTATCCCTAAAAATTCATTACAACCCACAAGAAAATGACACATTGTCAAGAGAATATACTGAAATTTTCATCTTCTTAGGATTCAAATCCAAACACCGTCAAAGTTCTTGTGGTCATGGATGTTCACCTGCAATGAATTCAGGTCATCTGAAAAATTAGTCGGTACATATAAACTGACCCGAAAATTCACGATTAACAAAAAACATATAAAAATTTGTAAAGTTTTTTCCCCTTTTTTCAAGAGAATAGAAGAAAAAGAGGTGGAGAAAGGGGAAAAGAATAAAAGCAAAGGATATTATTATCCGAATATCAATGGTGGAAGGTCACAGAGAGTTAAACTCTACACACACACACACACAGACTACATGTGAAATACGTTACGTCACTTTTAATCGTCTTTCGATTCGTAATTCTCTCTATCTAATAAAATCTGTCCATCTTCTTCTCTCTCTCTCTGTGGACCATCGTACTTTTTTCTTCTCTATATCACTGTTTTTCTCTCTCTGATCTCTCTCTGTCGCAGCAATATATACATACACGTCCGTTATATGTATATGTCTACACAAAGAAATCTTTATTTCTTTCAAAAGAGATAGAGAGAAAACCACCCAGTTACCTTTAGTCGTTCAAAACTCCGATTAATCATATCAGCCTTCACTTCTTCATCAAATATTTCATCATTCCACTCTTTATTCCTGAGATCAGACGGTTACGGATCCATTTCCCTCTTCAATCTTGCGGCTAGGGCTCAATTTTATACGTAATAAAACACTCTCTCTCTCTCCTGATAATCTGTTATGTTGTACATGTATGCCTCTGTGTACTTTTTAATATCTATGTGTACCTTGTCTTCCATTTTCATGCACTCTGTGTTACCATCTCTTCATTAATTTCTGATTTTCCTTTTTATTTCCGAGATGGGTTTTCAATGTTCGATGGGAATTTTTAAGTGGGGTTTGCTGATTGGTTTTTGTTGATTGTTATGCATCACATTTCGGTCACGAGGTTTTGTTTTTAGTTCTTGATTTCAGATTCGATGGCCACACGATTCAAAGCCAATATGTGGGTATTTGAATTTTGTTGTGTAATTGATATATTCTTCATTGTTTTTCAAGACAAAACTGCTGAAAATTTTAAGCCAAAGCGTTTAATTTGTATAGAATTTCGTAGACGTCTCTATCTCTGAATGTGATTGAATTCTTGGTTATGAAACGATTGTTTATGGCTTGGAAACTGCTACACATATCTTTTCCCATAATTTTCTTCACAAATCTTTTGTTTCTTGGAGCATTCTTTCATGCTTGAATGGTTCTTTCTAAATTGAATGATTCTTTCATGATTTCTTTGAAACCATTTATCTTTGATTGTTTGATTATAAGATGGTAATCTAATGTCTTGTGTGAATTGTAGCAGTTCTCTTCTATTTTCTGGTATTCACCTTTTAGTCTACCTAAATTAGTGTGAGGTGCTTTTCCCCATTTAAAGTTATTTTTTCCATCTTGTGTGAATGTATGAATATGAATAGTTTTTGGCATATGATTTTGGGTGAATTTGACTGAAATAGGAATGTCTCAATAGTACTTATTTACTGATCAACTGTAATTTTGGGTTCATATTGTTTTTTTTTTACTAGAAAACAGTAAGCAATTTCCTCTTTATTCACCTCCTCCTATTCATGTTGTAATTTGCAGTGATCAAGAAAGGTCAACAAGACTAAACATTATGGAGCCTAACCATAGGAGAGGAAGGAGAAAAGACCATGTTGGTCACTATAATGGTGAAGTGAGCTTAAGGATTACTGATGATGAACTTGACCCATGGACAGCATGGGCTTACAAACCTCGAACCATTTCATTGTTATTCATTGGTGCATGCTTTCTTATGTAAGTTTCTTGCATTAAAATTTGAGATATCGTTTCTTGGTTCCTTCAGGTAAAACCTATATCTTTGGCTATGCGTTTGGCTAAAATTTTGTCTGAATAGTTCAGTATGCACGGTAGCAAGGATGATTCACACTGAACAGATTTTTTATTGGTCGTCAAATTGAACCTTTTGTCCTTCAAACCGCATATCATAGCTTCTGCTCATCATGCATTTCTATGTCATTGAATTATTATCTCAGTACTTGACTAATACTCCCTCCGTCCCAAAATAAAAATGCCGACAATGAAAAAGACACAGTTTTAGGAGTGTGCAAACATTATACTTTTTAATTAAATAAATGGCAATTTTTCCCTTAACGATATCATGATTAAGGTTAGGATTGTAAAGTAGACACTTACTTTTGAAAGTTGGAGCTTATTTTGGGACAAACTAAAATAGAAATATGGACACTTATTTTGGACGAAGGGAGTACATGCTTTGGTAACTTGTGTTTCTTTTCTTTCTGTCTAGAAACATATACATATACTCCCTCCGACCCATGAAAATTGCAACATTATGTTGTATATTCGAATCTTTTCTAGCCAAGCCTTTATATTTCCCCATCGTACATTCCCCTACCTTTTAATGACAGTTGACTAATAGTCAAACACTTATCTTAAACCATGTGTCCAATCAAAATTGCAATTTTTCATAGAACGAAGGGAGTTTGGTGATCATAAGGAACTTGATCTTATTAATTGGGTGTTTTTTCAAATTGTCGTTTTATTCATTTTAAATTCCCTTTTGGAATGTGTTCTCAGTTGGGCAAGCGGAGCTCTTGATCCTGAAAGTAGTTCATCGGCTGATCTTGTAACATCAGTCAAAAGGTGAGTGCTCATCCGTAGAGTTAGATTTCTTGTGCATGACTTGCGTCATCCATGAAACCAGCATTCTAATATCTATTGCTTATTGAAGGGGCATATGGGCAATGATGGCGGTTTTTCTGACTTATTGTTTGCTGCAAGCTCCTTCTACGTATGTTTCTCAATCAAGTTTCTCATGCCATAGTTGGCTCATACCATTGTGTTTTAAACCACCCTATATCTAGATATTTAGGATTCATGGAAGCTTTGTGATTTTATGAATTACATCTCCATTTAGTCATGGATTATTTAAATGGGACCCACAAAACGAAAATGATGAATGGTCAAAATAAATAAGCTTTTTCTACTAGTGTAATATAATAATACCATTATTCATTTTCAGTCTCATGGTCTTTCAGGTTACTAATTAGGCCACATCCAGCAATTTGGCGCCTAGTTCATGGGATGGCCGTTATTTACCTTGTTGCTCTGACATTTTTGCTTTTCCAGGTCGGTTTTTTATTTTGCCCACGTCTACAATGTTATATTCCTGCTTATAGCTCGATATGGAACCCGTTTTGCTAAAACTTGTTTTGCTAACTTTTCATGCCAGAACCGTGATGATGCTAGGCAGTTAATGAAGTATCTCCACCCTGATCTTGGCGTTGGTAAAATATTTTGTGTTATTTACATTTCTACAACTGCTTTTTCTTCATATATAGTAGTTTATGTTGGTGTATTGACTTTGTCTTTGTTAATATTTTCTTAGAACTTCCCGAGAGGTCATATGGCACCGATTGTCGAATTTATGTGCCTGAAAATCCAACTAGCAGGTTTATAAATGTTTATGTATGATTTCTTCTTTCACAATCTTTGCATTTCTTTCTTTTGTCTTCTGTCCCTTGAAAATAAATTCCATGTCAATTATGCATATGGAACATACAACATTTGACTTTCAGAAGTCAAAACTGAGTTTCTTTTGGGGATGAAAAAGAGCTTTACAGACCACTAAAAATTGTTTCGGGTTTTGCAGGAGACACTTTTTGATGAATTCGTTCCTGCTCATATTTTCGGATGGTGGGGCAAAGCAATAATGATTCGTAATCAACCCCTTTTGTGGGTATTGTCAATCGGATTTGAGTTAATGGAGGTTAGACACCTATGAACTAATAAGTTATACGTTCTAGTTGTCTTCTTCTCTCTCCATATGGGCTGGATGACCAGTAAGTTATGCATCCTTGACTGGAAGGGGGGTATTTAGCTAAATGACCTCCTGAAAAGTGCTTTTTAAATCCATGATCTTCTGACAAGTTTTTGGGCAGTCTCGTGTGTGGAAGTGACATTCTTCTATTAAGCAGTTTCATTCTCGAACCTGTTAGAAGCTTCATGGATTTAAAAGAAAAGACTTAGCAAAAGGTCATTTAACCAAAGACCCGACCGAAAAGTCATGAGTTCGAGTCATGGAAACCACCCCTTTTCGTTCCTTTTTACTGATCCTTGCGAGTTGGCTCTTTTGAACAAATCTTAAGCTTCTCTCATATGAAATTGATGCATTAGTTCTGTTTTTCAGCTCACATTTCGCCATATGTTACCGAATTTCAACGAGTGTTGGTGGGACAGCATTATTCTTGATATACTAATCTGCAATTGGTTTGGTGAGAAACAAGGCCCTTATCCTACTCTTTTCTTGTAAATTACTCAAAATTTCTACATATAGCTTGGCAAATGAGTATTACATTTTAACGTTAAAAATGACTTGAGTTTTGGTTGAACCATGGAAGGTAATTTGTATTGATGATGGTAATATTCTTTGCTGGGCAGGTATCTGGGCAGGAATGCATACTGTTCGCTATTTTGATGCCAAAACATATGAGTGGGTTGGAATAAGCCGTCAACCGAATATATTAAGCAAAGTACGTCTGTCTTTTCATACATTCGAGTTAAAAAGTTTAGTTCAAAAAAGTAGTGGATTAAGTTTAGAAAATTCTGATTTAGAATCCATGTGTTTTATCAGGTAAAAAGAACGTTGGGCCAATTCACTCCTGCACACTGGGACAAGGACGAATGGCACCCGCTTCTTGGTCCTTGGCGATTCATCCAAGTTCTTAGCCTGTGCATCGTGTTCTTAACCGTGGAACTCAATACATTTTTTCTCAAGTTTTGCCTTTGGGTTCCTCCTCGAAATCCAATAATTGTTTATAGGTTGGTTCTTTGGTGGCTCATTGCAATTCCTACAATTCGAGAGTACAATTCTTACCTACAAGACCGGTAATCCTCTCTTTCCTTCGACCATCTTTATATGAACATTACTCCCTCCATCACAAGATAAAAAGCCACACGGGTTTAAGAAATGTGGAGTAATTACACTTGTTAGTTAACAAACCGACAATTTTACCCTTAATAAAATTCTCCATCTCATAATAAAGGGTAGAATTGGAAAGTATGTGGACACTTATTTTGGGACGAAGGGAATAGTATTTAAGGCATTTTGACAACAATTTACATGTTATACATTTTTACAGCAATATTCACCATGACAATTACCAACTTAGGACCAGGACCGGGACCGGTAAGGACCAGTTATGGACCGACGACATGGGATCGGTTATGTTCTCTCATGAAAATTCAAGGCCCAGCACGGGACCGGTTACAGGACTGTGACCGTTATACATAGGCCCGATTTCTTAAATAAAATTGAAGTTTTTTATAAATTATGTATCAAGTTTTTTACAAAAAAATTCGAAGTGTTTTTTTCAGCTTTTCAAGTTTTCTTTGAATTTTTTTTTTCAAGTGTTCCAATACTAAATTTAAAAAATCGTAATTATAGGAACATCTATAACACTTTTGTGTGGAAAAGATTTAAAAAATGATTTAAAGTGTATTTGAATGACCCAATTAGATATTGTAAAGTGTATTTAATAAGATACTATACAAAAAGGAATCTCTTCGAACAAGATTTATTATATGTTTAAAATTGAATTTTGGGAGAAAAAATTTGGGACCAATTTCGGCCTGGGACCTGTTCTAGGGACCGCGCTTTGTACATGGAGAATGGGCCAGGTGTTTTTGGTCGGGACCGGGACCAATTTGGGCCTGGCCCGCGGCAGGACCGATTTTGGACATCTCTACGGCCAAGATGAATAATAATACTTATGAAAGGGTGCCACCTCCTTATCCGCTAGGCCAATCCCACAGGGACAATATAACTCATCATAGAATCTATTGTGCAACTTGTGATTTTCTAAGGTGATTTATTTTCAGAAAACCGGTGAAAAAGGTCGGAGCTTTTTGTTGGCTTTCGCTTGCCATCTGCATCATTGAACTTTTCATCTGTATCAAGTTTGGCCATGGTGAGTTTTATCTTCTTCACTGCGATGCGAAATCATTTGTAATTTGTGCTCCCACCCCACATTCCTGCTCATGTTGACTCTTATGGTCAAACTTTTTATCATATGAGCTCTACATTGATGGAACCATCACAAGATTAACCGAGCACAGGGTTACGTATAGCGTTGTGACAAAATTTGTCGGTTTATCAGGCAATTTGTGATGATAAATTCAAAAATGATAGAGTTCGACTTTGGGTTGACATTTAGATGATTTGACCTGAAAAAGTCGAATCTTGAAGTATTTTCGTGAGTGACGGTTTTCTTTTTCAGGTTTGTTTCCGACTCCGATGCCGAGATGGCTGGTAGTTTTATGGACAATTGCTGGTGTGGTTCTTTCAGGGTTCTTGATTTTGTGGACGCGGCAATCTCGTCGTCGAACTATAAGCCGAAAGCGCGTATGAAACTGTAATGAAATTGTGGGTTTTAGCCATTCTTTGATTCCTTGGTTTTAGATGTTTGTAAATGCTAATTGCTTTGAAATTGTAAGTGGTTATTATATGAGAGGGTGACTGGCAAACAGAAAGGGAAGATGAATTCTCCTTTTTGACATTTTTTTAAATAACATGAGAAAAGCCAAAAGGGCATATGATTACATATTGGCAAAGGCAAAACTATTGTACATAGCAATTAGCAATAGCAGGTAAAATGAGATAAATAAAAAGTTGTGTACTTTGATATGTTCTTTTCAATAACAAAAATAATCATATAATAAATGTAGATTCCATTTGTTCAATTATCATCTATTCAGGGGTGTTTATATTCCGGTTTGGCACCGATAATAAACATTTTTGAGTGTTTGGATAAACAATTTATATCAGTGTCAAACCGGTAATAAAAAGTTTTAAAGAAATTTCTAACTTATAATAAATTGATAAAGACTTTTATAGAAAAACATAAGTTGTTTGAAATAAGCAATCCCAAACACCCCCTCAATCAACAAAATGCTCATTATGGGTAACTTCTCTATGTTGTACAATTACATACACAGGTGGTGGGTTGTGTTGGAGAGTGTATCTATGTGAGATTTCAAATAGAGTACTTAAACGAGGTTTCCCCTTTTATTTTAGCCCATTTAAGCAAGTATAATGGTTAGCAGATTAGCCCAATGGTCTAATTCCTTCTCTTTTTTACCAGATTTAGCGATTCGTTGGTTTTCGGGTCATGACCACATCTACAATCCCTTCTACTTATGTCTCTAATTTGATGATTGACCTCTCTTTATCGACTAGTCTCACTTATCTTAATTTTCTGGATAGCTATTTTTTACGAATGAAGTACCAAGCACGACTTAGTTTCGTAATCTTCCTCTTCCTTATTCTTTATTTCTTCTTTTTTTGTTTGACAACCAACTTCATCCGTTATGATATCGAGTACTGTTGTTCATAGTACTATAGTCCTTTAGTAACATATAGAAAAGTTGAGGGTTTTTCGAGAACTTGAGGTACCAGCGTTTAGTGAGCTCCTTTATGCAAATTGTTTCGATTTTATTAACTTAATGGAGAAAGTTGATTATGAAATAACTTACTGAAGATTGTGCCGAAAAATGTTTGGAAAACGATTATATTTAAGTGAAATTTGTATGTAAATTTGTTATTTTCTAACATTTCTGTTTTTTTAATTTATAAAACTTTTAATATAATATATGGTATGAACTTTTATAATAGTTCATTCAAAAATATATCTGAATGACAGTTAATTTTAGAGTGAATTACACTTTTGGTCTCTATAGTTTATTCAAAGACTGCTTTGCTCCTTTTAATAGTTTCTAATTGACGACGTTAATTTCAAAGATCTTAAGTGTTATGAAATTAAAAGGTTAATAACCATTAATGTAGATAGTTTTTTTTAGAGATAAAATCTAAAATTTAAACATATCATACTTGACTTAAAAAAAAAGTAACCACAAGGATGGTGGTTAATTGGTTTAAACTTAGGCTTCAAATGTCAAAAGTGTCTGGAGGTCATGGATTTAAATACAAGGAGAAATAAAAATTCTCTTGTGGTCACGGAGGTTCGAATGCGATAACTCTGAACTACCTACAAAACAAGTGAACGTTTAGGGATTAATCGACTCGTATGGTGGGTTGGATATCCAAGTTAATAAAATATAATAATAATAAGCCTTGGATGGGACTTTTTTTGACTTTTACTCAAAAATAGTAGTGGTTTGACCAATTTATATCGGCTGTATCCATGGGTCCCTGTCCCTGTCCCTGCCTTCCACTCCTCTCATTCGTATTTTTTCTTCCATATTCCCCCTTATCCCTTCCTTATTCAATAATTTTATCAGCAATGGAGACGGAAGGCAACAAGCCGTCGGTGTACCTGACGAACCTGGAGGAAGTGAAGCAAGTGTTTAACCGTTTTGATGTCAACGGAGACGGCAAGATCTCTGCCGCGGAGCTCGTCGATGTCATGAAGGCACTCGGATCCAACACGTCTCTGGATGAGGTGAATCGAATAATGGCGGATATCGATACTGATTGTGACGGTTTCATCAGCCTAGAGGAGTTTGCCGGTTTCTGCAAAGGAAAGTCCGGCGAAGAAGATGACGGTGGGATGAAGGAGCTCCAGGATGCGTTCGACCTCTACGATCTGAACAAAAACGGATTGATTTCAGCGAAGGAGTTGCACCAGATCTTGAGTCAGTTGGGGGAGAAGTGCACCGTAAATGATTGTACGAATATGATAAAGTCGGTGGATTCCGATGGCGATGGCTATGTGAATTTTGAGGAGTTCAAGAAGATGATGTCGAACAATCCATCAAAGTGAATCAGCGTAACTTTTCTCTCTTTCGCCATATACTTCTTCTTTGAAATAATTCACATAACAAACTGTGATTTTAAATTTCACAATGAGATTGTGTTTTCAAACATTATTTTAGATTAAGCAATCACAACTATATGTTATAAATTGCGACATTAGTTCAGTAATTGTTATCACATTGATATTGATGATGTTACATTCATAACCTTAATCATAGATAATGGTTCTTACGAGCCTCGTTGCCACAGCCATTTTGGCTCGTTATGCTTCAATATCGTGTTAGCATGCGGCACGTATGACTAAATGAGTGTTTTTGTAAAGCGATATGTGTCTTGCTTTTAGTATTTAACTTAATTTAGATCATTTAATATCGGGGACAAAATAATTAATAGTAAAAAATATATGTGTGTGTATATATGTATATATAGATTTGAGATCATGTGAGAGTGAGACCAAATTGTTTTCGTGAGACACATAAGACCATATTTTTACAATTGAAACTTCACAGCAAAACACTTTGAAGGTAACTTGTTTTTATGAGACTCATGAGATCACATATTTACAATTGAAACTTCACAGCAAAATACTGTGAAGGTAACTTGTTTTCATGAGACCCATAAGACCACATTTTTACAGTTGAAACTTCACAGCAAAACACTGTAAAAACACTTTTACCTTCACAATGTTCTGTTGTGAAGTTTCAAGTGTAAAAATATGGTCTCACAGGTCTTACAAAAACAGGCTGGTCTCATGCGAATCGAACCCTATGTATGTGTGTGTGATGTCATTATAGGTTACGCCTTGAAACACGCCGTGTTTTGACCATGCCTCCTAAGACTCGAGATTTGACGTTGTCGCTACGTCACACCTTATACCATTTAGAACCTTGATCATGATGAATAATCACACCCTTCCGGTTTAAGGTTTATGAAAATGAAGATATAATACTTATAATTTCACTTTTAGTATTTATAAAACAATTAATCATGTTATCAAGTAAAACATGGCCACACCACTAGTAAATCTTTGTAGTTATTGTGATAGTCTAAATGCATTCCTATATATTGTTAAATATATCTTTATATATTATTAAATGTACCTTTACTTACTAATTTCTTCCTTCTACATATCAATATTAAGACTTAGGGGCAGTTTACCAAACACTGACCCGCTAAGCGCTTACCAGTAAAATTCAACACTATCATTTTCTTACCCGGTAAGATTTTAGTCCATCAAAACAGCATTGGATACAACAATTTACCTGGTAAGTGCTAACCGTGGTAAGAGTCATCGTCCTCACTTACCGGATAATACTTTCGGTCCTTGCCTCGCTCTTACTGGGTAAGATTTTGGTCTTTGTCATATTCATCCAATAAGGTAATGTGACTTAGTAAGCACTTACCTGGGTAAGCGTTTGGTAAACAACCCCTTACTTTTTACATTTTAATATATGATTTGATCTGACTTTAACATAAAACTGATACATATAACATCACCCATTATATATTTTGGATTCGAAGGGATTGAAATGTGAATAGTAGAGTAGAGGGGGAGGGTTTCTTCCTTCATATTATGGAGACAGTTGGATTTTGAAAATGTAAAAAATAAGGTTTGATTTTGAGACACGTGATTTGAAAATTTACGAAGGAAATTTTATTTAGTACTAAATGTATATGTGTGTAATGTACTATGATTCAGTCTTGTTCGTTGATTTTAATTTTAATTTTACAGTTTTGTGTTTTAAGAGAGTGAGAAAGCCATCTTAATTTTATTTTTATGGTTTTAGGTGTAAGCTTTATAAATCATGAATATATATATTATTCATAATAATAAGATAGGAATATGATATTTATAATTAATATGTTTCTTCATGATAAATAACACATTTGATACATAATATTTATAATGAATATTATGTATCTGATATTGATGTGGAGAATTGTGCATTTGTTGGATTTTTGTATCTCCTTGTATCTAGCTTCTTGCTGGATCTTTTTGTTTAATATATTGGTTGGCTTGGTGAGGGTGATGGTCATGTTGTAGCTCTCTTTCTTATCCTTCTTTTTTTTGCCTTTCAATTTTTTTTTGGAGAATTGTGCATAGAGATGAATATCTATAATAAATATCTATGATAAATATATACATCAATTTATGTATAAACCACTTAAAAGATAAAGAAAAAAAAATAAAGTGTTTGCTTTTAAAAGATTTATTTAATTAAAATATTAACTATAATAAATTTAGTTTTGAAAGTAAGGGATAATCCTTTATAAAAAACAACAAAAAGTATATTGTTTTTGGATCGATTTCTAAAACCTGATCTGTTATTCTGGAAAAGGTAATATTGATTTTTTGAAAACACTTAAAGCTTCCATTATTATTTACAAAATGGATAAAACAAGTATATTATAAAATGGAAAGACTTTTTTTATGGATTATTGAATATTAATTTATATTTAATACTTTAATAGCTGTATACTTGGAAGATTTAAGAGTTTTTAATAACAAAAAAGTCAAATGTTTTATAATGTTAGAATGGAGTAACTTTTTAACATGTCATTTTTAGTTATTTTTAAGGACGTTCCAATTTTTTTGGAGACCCTGTTACATCCAGAACTTTTGATTACATTGCATAAATGAGATAATAAGAGTATATCTTAAGAACAAAAATGGGTTAAACCTAAAACGATTAACCATCTGAAACTAAACTTTAACCTTTAATGATTTGAATAAAACCAAACAATTAATGATTTGAACATAAATAACTTCAGCTATAGTTTTACATAGGTCGATAAAAAGACCTAAACACATGTATATTTGGGCCCCAAAATTTTCGGGGGCCCTATTCAAAATCTCACATTTAACATGCTAAGAGACGACCCTATTTATTTTATATTTGTCAACGAACTTATCAGACCAGTTTTACAAAACATAATTAGTTTTTTTTTAACCAACAACTATTGTATGAGTCATCAGAGGGTTTTGGTCTAGCGGTATGTGAGATTTTGGCTTCCTAGCAAATCAAGAGTTCAAACCTTATCAAAGATGAGAAGGGTATATAAATTTATTTGTTCTATTTACCGAATATAAAATACTTTAACAAAAACTATTGTATGAGTCTAACAACTAATTAGTTAATTAGTTTAAAGGGGATGATATTGTGACTTGTGAAGTTCCATAAAGTGAGAGGTTCCCTTGTAAGGACCACTCATTTCTCTCCTTTATGGACCATTTACAATATAATAACTATTAAAAATCAAATCAAATTAATTCATTTGTTTTTTAAATAGTTGTTTTCATATTATTTATACAAACAAAACAAATTTTAAACTTTTTAATAAAATGAAAATGTTTTAACAAACTTATTTTTTATTTCTTGTATTCAACCATAAAATGAAAATAATTTCACTTATAATCAATTGAACAAAAATTCAATAAAATAAAAAAAACAATTAACCTTTTATTCATAACACAAATTATTATAATATTTAGAATTTTTTTTAAAAAAGTAATTAATTTTATCTATTTTTATTTATATATACACAAAACTTCTACTTATAAAAAAATTATATAACTTGAAATTGAAACTATTACTCTCTCAATTTTCTCCCCTCTCTCTCTCTCTCTCTCTCTCTCTATATATATATATATATATATATATACATACATACATACATACATATATAGGGTTGGGTTCACGTGAGACCAATGGTTTTTCGTGAGACCCGTAAGATCAGTTTATGTTCATTGATCAACTTTATAAGCTAATGATCTAATGGTCTAAAGTTGCACGGTGACAATTTTGTAATTATTGAGAAGTCTCGTGGCGTTTATGAATGTTCAGATCTGACGGTTGTAGATCTAATCCAAGAGTTGAGAATTGGTCTTACAGGTCTCACAAAAAACCATTGGTCTCACATGATCCCAAGTCTATATATATATACACTGACCATCCAAATTACCATATGAATTTGTTAAACCTAACGGTTCGTCAAACAAATTCACTAAATACAACAAGCATACAAGCTCAACCAAATTTCCTACCATATCTATTATTTCAACCTTCTTCAAATTTTGAAGTTCATCACAATACCGATGCAAGCATCGTCGATATCAGGTGCTTACACATCATCATCGGATACCCTAGCAAACATCAATTCGGACAATGTTGTTGAAATAGAAGTTCAACCGATTGGAACAAAAGCGACCAAGAGGAAAGGAAAAGAAAAATCATAAATACATAACAAAGTTCATGTCATTCAAAAAGAATTGAAAAATCGAAACACAATCCAGAATTCAAAATTAAGGCCATTATAAAGGAATTAAAAAACCCTCAAGGTCGAGCACCAAGCAAAACAAGAGAAGCAAAAAAAAAAAAAGATGATTTAATCGTCCTTACAAATGATACAAGTCATATGACACCGAAACAATTATACATCTATAACATGTTAATCATTTTATTACATTTTTTTATAAATGTAGCCTTTGTTTTAGTAAATTTTAAGTATTATGACTTTTATTATTTTGATTTTTAATTATATAAGTAATTAATTTATTCATGATTGAGCATGAAAGACTGATAAAATGTATAATAAAGAGAAAATACGTGAAATACACTCTTTGGTATTTCCGATAACATCTTGTTCAAATCATTGTCTATTTAAAATAATTGCAAGTAATTCATTATTCATCAGTTGTTTATTAGTAAATAAACGTTATGGTCATCCTACTCAAGAATTCGCCTATAAAAGAAGTTAGAAGTTTTCATTCTCAAATCAGAGTTTTTTCATCAGTTCTTCCATACAGAAAAACCCTTAAAATATATAATAAAGAGAAAACTGATGTGATAGACAAAAATACCAATGTGATAAACCTCTAAAATGGTTAATAACTACAAATTCTCTTAGGGGATGTTTACCTAAATGATTACCCGGTAGACACTTCCCGTATTTTACCGGGTAAAATTGTAGTATATTAAAATAGTATCGTATGCAATAATTTACTCGGTAAGCATTTATCCGGGTAAGAGTCGTCACCCTCACTTACCAAGTAAGACTCTTCATCTTTACCATTACTTTTACCGGGCAAGATTTTTGACTTTTGCCATGTTATTCCGGTAAAAAAAAAAAATATCCAGTAAACAGTAAACAGCCCCCTGCGTGAAATGCTTTTCTCTCTTAATAAACAAATGGGTTATTTCTTTACAAGAATTGCTGTCAATTTAGTATGTGGCAAGTTGGCAACTCACTCAAAAAGATATATTATTGATTTATTTTTGGGGTTGTATGTTTGATGGCTTTGTTCGTGTGTGTTGTGTTTAATAAAGTGATAGCAACTTTTCGTTTGTATAGTTAGTTAACAAAATCATGATTAGTACGCATGATATAAATTGGAATGAAAAAAATAATTATTTAATAAAAATCAATTATTGGATTTTAAAATTTGTTGATTTTTGAAAATTAATTATTTTGGATACTTTTAAGAAAGAAGATAACAATGTTTTTAATTAAAAATTGACAGCAGATGAGGCTTGGAGACCTGACGGATTCGTAGAAAGAGACCTTTCAACCAAAATTTCACGCAACGAACGCTTACCACAATTTTCAACCAAAAGGAAAAGGTTCAATTCTTGTATTTCTCCTTACAGAAGACGTATATAATTTTGAGTGAAAAAGATGGTATTCATGAGCAAATAAAACAAAGTGCAGGCCATACATTAGTTCTTGCACATCCATCTGAGTCTACAAAAGTGCAGGCAATCAAGGATATCATAGTGCTGTTTTGAATTGTTTCTGGGATCATTTAGTAATCTTAAATAATCAAAAACTACCTATTTATGATAAATATTATTCATCATAAATATCTGTAATATTTATCATGTTATTCATCATGAATATTTACAAAATAAGTGATCATAGGTTCCTGAAATATCGAAGGTATAGGGAGAAATCAAGGATGAACCCCAAAAGAAAAAGAAGCCTAATAACTCATTCAAAATGTTACAATAAGATAATTCACCAAATATGGTCAAAAAAGATGACATTGAGATGATCCAAAACACTTTTTTTGATTGAAAACCGTCAAAATACAACAAAAATCAAAGTAAAAAATGGCACCAAAAAACGATCACTTTATCATCAATAATTTGCCATCCATTTTTAAATATTTTTCACCCGCATTTTTGTGGTTCTCCGATTCTTTTTTTCAATATATATATAACTAGAATGCGGTCAACTTACCAGAACTGCAAGATCATTAGATCAACAATGTGATTCTATAGCTATGTAACAGACTAAACAAGTAAAAACACAAGATAAGTCACCTATGGCTATTTATGTAAGTGTGTCAAAATTTTATCGACAAAATGTGGTAAAACTATAAAAGCAACAGGAACTCTCATGCAGTTGGTGCAAAACAAATAAATAAGGAGGAAACAATGGAATATGGCTTTTGATGCTTCTATACTCAACCAGTTTCCTAGCAGATTGGAAAGTGATGAATAAACACATCCACAAATCACCAAACAAATGTCTAACCTGATACGGGAATAAAAATAGAGTCCATGTCTAACCTGCCCAATCCATGCATGATAAGATACATCACAGCTGCAGTTGCAGTTTCTGTGATCATGCATCTGACTCTTCTGCAAATAATCCCCAACTCCTTCACATTAGCAAACACAATAACCATCAACGATATTGTAATATGCAACTAAAAGTTCACATACTGAACTCATCAAAACAAAACACAAACTTCACCATGAACAAGGTAACAGACATCATAAAACTTCTGGTTTTCATCTGATAAGCAATTTAAGAGCAAAAATCATACAGGTCTATTCATGTTTCTGAGGAAAATGCAACTAATTCAATATATGTAAGCTACCAACGCCAAAAGCCATGCATCAGCCCAGTATTCACGAAAGGTCAAAAAACGGCAGATGTACTCGATAAGATATGCGCAAAAGTCAATTCGGTCCAACAAATTTTGAGTTTCCCATTTGTAACTCAAACTCCATGATTCAATGGTGCAATCTACATTCCATAATTTTTTTCCTGCAATACCATATTGGAATCGATGATTGATATATAGTAAAGTATATGTAATAAGATGCCTGAAAATAAATAGATCTCCAAGACTAACCTTTATCACCGGTTTCACAAAACTTCGATTACTAACATCAAGCTCCTTTAGCATCATCATAATATTTTAGTTGATAATAATTATTGCCCAACCTTTCTGCATTCAAAATGCTGATTACAGATTATAAAACTATCCAAAGATAACACAACAAAAATAACATAAAGGTAGTCGGTAAAGATCAATAAGCAAATCTGGTAAGTTTAATGTGAAAATTAATTCACATAATTAAATCTAAAGAAAGTCTACAAACTGGAAGCATAATAACAATGTACATCTACTAGTAGCTTGCCTAATCAAAATACGATGATTGAAGATCAAACACATTGTTATGTTACTAAGGCTCCATGTCAACTGACTCTGCTTCAGTTAAACAGGTTTCACAGAAGCATACATCAAATGGATTATGAGGTATGTTTTGTTGTTAACATATCCCAACAAAGTGTTCCTCATCTTCATCCAAATTTCCATTGTCTGTGATTTCTCTGTCATTCTGGTCAACAGAGTATCTTGCTGGTTGTGGTGCTTGCCTATATCTTTCAAAGCGAAGCATAAATCCATCAACGGCCCTTCATTGTCAAATGTCGTACCTAATCTATATATCATAACTACGTGTTAAATAGAAGCTAAAACAACCCAATATATATTACCGGTTCATCTACCTAAGAAAATGGAACCAAATCAGTAAGGTCTATGCATAAGGCTGCACCAAAAGCACCAAATTATCTATATACTATCTTATTAAGCAAATTTAGCAAAAGTCTTAAAGTCTTAAAATTTTAAATGACCAAAATACCCTTTATACTCACTTTTTCACTTTTACACTTTTTCACCCCCTCCTCTCCACACATACACTCACCCCCTCACATACACTCACCCTCTCACAACCTATTTTTTTTAAATTATAATTTTAAATTTACAATTTATATCCCTATAATTAATTAATTAATTTACTTTACGTTCTTTACTTTTAAATGTTTCATTTTAAACCTTTATCAAATTAACATACATAGTCGTATATCAATTAAAACATGTTTAAAAAATACATTTTTATTTTAACAAGTTACACCATTATAATCGTTAATACCTTCGAAATGAGTCCAATATTGAATAGTTTTTTACTTAATTATATTACTATATATTATATATACTGTGAAAAAATATTTTTAATATATACGATTTATACTTTTACAGTTATTTATTTATATATAATACTATATATTTTGGGGTTAGGCCGTCCAAATTGTACTGTATAATATGTTTTGAATTAATATGTTCTTGGGTTTTTTTTGAAATATATATACATGTATTAATTCAACCATAATCTGAGTTTCTGACAAGAAAGAGGGTAAACAGTTGAAATTTCATTCTAAAACCCATTTTTTTTTGTCTTTTCATGGCTTATGATATGTCAAATTTGTAGTTTTTTTTATTGGTTTTGAGTGTTTATCTTAAAACTCAAGTTTCTTGGTTCTTTGTTCTTGGTGTAAATCGAATACATTTGTGGAGTCGTTTAAATATGTTGGATTTTAAATATATTGAATTTTAAACTGTCATACAATTTTTTTCATCGATAGTCTGTAATTGGAACCATAACTCTTATTTATTCAAATTGTATTAATATGTAAAGACCAAGTGTAAACTATATCATCGTTAAATCTTATCTTATAAAACCAGTGGAACTTCAAAATTGTTAAAATTCATGGCTCCCGCCGCATTGCGCGGGTACACAACTAGTATATTTAAGAACCAAGTACCTGATAATGGAGAGAAAGCGCATGCCACAACAACTGCTGCAAGCACTGAATTTCGCATCACATTCCTAACAGTTCCATAAACAGTCCATGAGAATTTTTTATTAGAAACACAGATAAACGCAATCATTATAGCCTACTTCTCTTTACGAGCATAAAGTTCTGATGACATTGTAAACCTAAAAACCTTTCCCATTGAGAATAGATCAACCTTCAATTCTTTTAGAGGAATAGATAAAGGACGAATATCATATACCTTGAGAACCAGGTGTTTGTCCACCACGTGCAGTGCGCCCACCACGACCTCGTCCCCTTGGTGTCCTGCCACGACCCCTTGCTACAGGAGGTGATGAAGGAAGTGTTCCAGCCAGTCTCTGCAAAGATCTTAGCCTTGCTCTCTCGTTCAAATTAATGGTTGTTGAACTTGTATCAGCAACTGACTCCTCTGGCTTTACTTCTGTTGGCCCTGATGTGGAAACACTACTGAGAGTGCTACCGTCTTGATTTGCAACACCGGCTTCAGACATAGCAGAAGTGTTCGATGTTTTCTCAGCTACAGGAGGGACTAAAACAGCAGCAGCAGTGGTGGGAACATGATCAATAGCAGCCTCTTCAGCCATAGACCCTCCTTCATCATTGCCATCGTTATTTAGCTTATCTGTTGAACTCTCGGGAGTAGTCTCTTCTACTTCTATCTCACCTTCTTCATTCTTGTCTTCGTTGTCCTCCAGTAGTGGAGAACTGACCTCCAAATCTCCTAAGGCATCATCTGCCACTTCATCTTCAACTGGCAAAGGTGAAGGTGACCTCATCTGATGCTCAACTAACTGAGCTTCCCCCATTTCTTGGTTGCTTATTATCATGGCACTAGATGTGTTATTACTAGTACTTGCACCACCACCTTCATGACCAATAATAGCATCAGAAACCATTTCGCCCTCTTCAGGATCACTTCCAGCTTCACCTGTCGCCTGCTGCTTTTGTGCATGCTCAGCTTCACTAATCTTTGGCTGAAACTCAGAAACCTCAATTTCAGCTGTCCTGTTCATATTCTCTTCACCAATATCGCTTCTATCATTCTGCAACTCTCCTTGATCCTCAACTGCCTGCTCCTCACCAGTTTCAACATCCTCATCCCTTCCAGCATCAGCAGTTTCCTCCTTTAATTGAACTTCATCTCCACCATTGCCTAGAGCCTCTTCAGCGATGGAAGGAAAACTTTCAGGAGCATCTGAAGCCATCGCGACGCTTTGAACCTCGGCACCCTCCTGTGGTTCTTCTGAACCTCTGGATTTCTTAATTAGAGGTGCTGCAACATCAGCAGCGCTACTTTCACGCACATGCGATCCTTCTTGTCCCTCTGAAACAGATAAAGCAGACGGACGTTTGCGCACAGATGACTGCATATTAGCTCCAACAGTTTCTATCATATCAACATCACCCTTTGGTTGGTCAGACTTTACAATTCGTGGTCGGACCAACCTCCGTGCAACTTTACGCTGTTCAAGTTTTGGTTTGGACGTAACTGGTGTCTTTGAACTTTCTTCCATGTTCTGAGCTGCAGGGACAACTGACGCCAAAGTACCAGAAGCCACTGCAGTAGGAACAACCTCACCAATGGTGGCTCGTGCTGATCCACCCAACTCAACCGACAGCGTATCACCAGTAGTAGGAACTCCAAACTCGCTACATACTTGATTTGCAACATGTTCAAAATTTTCTACAGCAAGGAGACATGCAGCAGCAAGGTCATCAAAGGAGTCACCAGAATGGGGCTGAGCAGTTGAAGCACCCTCCGATTCAGTGGCATGCTTCAGCTTTTCAACTTCATCAGACAGGGTTTTCAGTGCCTGTTTGTGTTTCTCCAAATCATCTGCCAGCTTTAACTTTTCATGAGATTCAGCTATTCCCTTCTCATTCTTTTGATTCTTTGACTTCTCAATCCTGACTTCATCTTTTCCCTTCCTCACCTCATCTCTTAGCCTCTCTACAACTTTCTCCAGCATCTGTATCCTTGTATCTTTCTCTTCTCTCTCCCTTGACTCATCTCTCAGCTTCTCAACAGTTCTCTCAAGCATCTGTATCCTTGTATCTTTCTCTTCTTTCTCCCTAGTGGCTTGCTCACCCGCAGTGTCCACACTGTTCCTTTTGACCTGGTTAGAATCAGCCAACTCTTTTGAGAGTTCTTGATTCTTCTTATTCAGTTCCTCCTTCTCCTTCACCAAGTTATCACATCTACGTTTCAATTGAATAAAGAACCTCTTCTGCCTGTCCATATCTGATTTCAGCGATGTCTCAGTTTGCGAAATACTACTTATCTTTGACTCTCTTTCATCTATTTCCACTTTGCTTCTTGCAAGATCCTGCTCCAACCGCAGTATTACTTCTTGTTTCTCCAAAACAAGTTTCTTAACCTCCTCCAACTGTCCATCTTTATCCAACAGTTTTACCTGCATTTGCTGAAAATCAGCTCGCATCCGACCATAATCTTCAGGATCAATATCTCTGAATTTGTCAAGCAGCTCATCAACTCTCTTTTCTAGGTCTTTTCGGTCTTTCTTCTGCATCTCTATCTCTCTTTTACAAGCTTCGACTTCATTTTGTCGTTCACCAAGCAAATTCTCTAAATTCACAACTTCCATCCTAGTATTATGGGTCGATTGGCGCAGTTTTTGACATTCCTCAAAATTGTGTCTGTTTTCTTCTCTAAGCTGTACATTGCTTTCACGAAGCAAATTCATTTCTCTAACTTGAAGCTGTAGCGCTTTAAACTCCTCCTCTGTAAAATGTACTGATCTTGAATTTTCTCGCTCTGCACGAAGCGATCCTTGTGCTGTCGCTTCAGCCTTCAAAGCACCCTCAAGCTGTGACTGCAACCGAAGCTTTTCCTGCTTCAGCAAAGATATCTCAGTCTCTGCGATCTCTTTCGAACGTCTCAGATACTTCACCACATTCTGTAGTCCGGCATCATTGAACTTATCAACACTTCCAGAAGACTCTGCACCGGAACCATGACTCTTTTCTGCCACCTTAATGTGCAATGCCTCGAGCTGATCATGCAAGATCTTGTTCTGTTCATTGATCTCATGATATTTCTTCTCTGCTTTATCTTTGGCCTCCTCTAGCACCAACTTCTCTGTTTCCCACTTGCTCTTTAGCTCTTCATTCTCAATTCTGAGCAAGTCAGATACCCTCCGGAGCTCAGATGCTTCTTCCTGTAGTGAAGCCAATGCTTGCGATGTTTTAGTCAACTCCTGAATTGTCTCAGACTGCAGTATGACCTGCCTCTCATAATTATCTTGAGCAGTACGCCATCTTAGATGCTCTTTCTCCAAATCATCTTTCAGGGCTGACATTTGTGACTCTAAAGCCTCAATGCGCAACATTTTTGAAGTACATTCTTCCCTCAAACTAGAAACCTCTGACAATGAGAAAGCAAGAGCTTCTTCTTGTGATACAGATGCAGAAGCCAACTCTTTAGCCTTCAAATTATAGCCATCTTGAAGTTGATTAACCTGCTCCTTCAGTGATACAAGTTCATCTTCTAATGATTTCTTCACCTTTTCTGCCTCAGCTTTAAAATTTTCATGGGAAGCTTCCATCTGTTTTAGCGCAGTTTCATTCACCTGCGCAATGCTTTTATATTGTAACATGTGGTCTTTGTTTACTTGCACTTCTACTCTCAATTTCTCAACCTCTTCCTTTGCAGTATGCAACACAGCCATGTCATCTCTGGTTGAAGAGGTGGGTACAAGTTCATCATTTATCTCAAAATCTATTTTTTTCATTTTCTCCAACTGAGAACACCGTTCTTCAGCAGCAGAAGCCCTAGCATTAGCATCAGCAACAGCACGCAACGCACTAGCTAGTTCTTTCCCCATCTCCTCGATCCGTTGCATAGCTCCTCTCATAGCTGTATTATGCTCATGCGTGAGCTTGCGAACATTGTCACGCTCTTCTTGAAGCTCCTTTTTAGCCTCTGCCCATTCTCTTTCGGTACGTTTGACATGATCCTCCTGGTTTATCCGTTGAGCACTTCTGGCTTCCTCCCGCACTTCTTCAGCGCTCTGAAATGTGTTCAAGGTAGCCTGCAACTGATGAACTCTCTCTGATAAACTACGGACTTCCTCAAACGCTCTCTTTTCAGAATTTACCAACATTTCTTTTTCACGCTTTACAACAGATACCTCCATATTTAACTTCCGCGATAAGTCCTCAGCAGTATGCAAGGCCTCAGAAGCTTCACGCACCTTTCTTTGGTAATCAACTATCAACTGTGAGAACTCGACATTTCTTGCTCTAATGCCATTTGATTCCTCCCGTTGATGCTCAAAATCTTTCATAAACCTTTCCAGTTTCTCATGTGCAAAAGTTGCTTCTAGAGTTGATCTGTCACGCTGTGATCTTAATGTAATGATCTCCCCTCTTAACCCTGTCATCTCTTCTTCAAGAAGCTTTATGCGCTCGTAAGCTTGCTCTTGTGCCTTTTTTGAAGCATCATTAGAACCTTCAAGTAGAAGCATAACATCATCCCTTCTGTCTGCTGGTGCCGTATCTGGAGATTGCAGTTGAGAAACATGACGTCTATGCTCCTCTTCATATAGTTTCTTGTACATAGCAACAGCGGTATGAAGTGATTCAATCATGTGTGCTTGTTCTTCTGCTCTAGCCAATACTGCATCGACTTTAGAAGCAGTTTCATTAGAATGCTTTTGAAACTCCTTCTCGAAGTTCTCCTTCAACTCGACTTCTTTAGTCTCAATCTGCTCAGTGAGAAGACGAACTAGACCCCGAAGCTGTACATTCTGCTCAACCAATCCATTTATATCCTTGAAGGTCAACAACCGTTCAGAGAAAACAGTGTCGGCATCAGAACTGACATTCGACTGATCAGCCAAGGAACTCATTCCCTCGATAGCAGAATCATAATCTGCAGATCCACAACGGAGTTGTATGTCACGACATTCCTTTAGCAGAATTGTTATCTGTCTCTGAAGGTCACGGTTCTCCGTTTGAGCTAAAGTGTAGTCCCGTTTATGCCTTCTTAATTCAGCCTTCAGCTCCTGGATAGTTCTCTCAAGTGCAGTTTGTTCAGAAATAGAATGTTGCAATTTTTCATTTAACATATCATATGCTTCAACCATTCTATCATGCTCTGCTCGCTCATCCAATATGACCTCAGCTTTATCTTCTATTTCATGCAACACCCGTTCCAGTATTGATTGGGACTGCTTTCTTCCCAATTGTTCATGCCTCAGAGCATCAACAGCTTCTTGGTACTTCTCATACATTTTAACTAGACTCCAACCATCTCGAAGAAGAGAAGCAGCTAGTGCTGTGCCTGAAATACCTGCTGGAATACTGGGAACAAGCATTAGATTATTTCCATCCACATCATTGGCATCGGTAGCGCCTCCATATGCTTTCGTGTTGAAACTGCTCATCTGCAGAAGATTAAGCTGATCAGAATTTCTGCAATTTTCCAATTCTGCTTCACACTTTTCAAGTTTTTCTTTTAAATGCAAAACCTCCTTTTCAAACTCCATTCTAGAGGATGTTTCCTTCTCAAGTCTATCTTTGTAATCCTTCTCAACTTGACTTGCATGAGTCTCCAAAGCCTTAATAACACCCTCAAGCTCGCCTGACTTCTTGGACCACTCATCTGAACTCTCCTTGTACAGTTCAACCAGCTTGTTTACAGTTGAAAGTTCAGCTGACAAGCGTTCCTCAGTAGCAGCAGCCATATCCTTAGATGAACAAAACTCCTTCTGTAAGGCTTCTAGCTTTGACTCCAGCTCCTTTACTCTGTCATCCTTCCACTTCAATGAGCTAGATGTGTCATTGTATTTTCTCTCAAGATCTGCAAGCTTAGAAGACATATCTGCCTCTAGTTCATTATGTACCTTCCTCAGCTCCAAAAGACTGTTCACTTTAGTAGTCAACTCGTCATTAAGCCAAATATTATGCCTCTCAACTAATTCCTTCTCCTGAGACAAACGAGCCAAGGAAGTGTGAACACGTGCAAGCTCAGCCTCCAATTCACTACTCCGTGATTCTTTAAAAGAAGCACTGTCGGTCAAGGCAACAATCTTGTCAAGATAACCCTTGATGGTAGCATTCTTCTCATTAATCTCTAAATCCTTATGTTCAATCAGTTGCAGCAACTGACTTTTGGACTTATGAAGCTCTGAAGCCTCCAAGGATAGCCGTTCAATCTCCCCATCCTTGCCGATCTACAGAAAGTGCTATTTGATCAGAATATTTACATATAAAGACAATTTTTCAACAAAATTCCACTTCCACGGGCATTTTAAAAAGCTGACACAGAAGGTAACCCATGAAAAAAAATCATAAAATGTATGAAATACAATATTCAAATTAAAAGTACCAACATGAAGTCTTTCTAGTTTATCATGTGATTATTACAAGAAGGCACATCTTTATATGAAAAGGCACATTTCTATTGAGTGGGGGTATTTTTTCTCAACTAAATAGCATTTAGTTACGTGAGGTTTTTATTTCACCCCAAGTCAAATAAGCATATCGCTCCAATCTTCCCACATAAAAGTCAAAAAGAATCTCCTCCCTACTAATATTTTCATATTTGTTTTACCATCTATCTCTTTATTCGCAGTTCTACAAAATTCTTGTACTTTATCATCTTCAGAACGTAGTGAAAACAAAATTTGCACTAGATAAGGCATATCCAAGAGGGTAAATTTCAAAATTTCAGAGAAAGGGGACGCCAAAAAGATCTAATTTAAAGAAACATCCCTCTCAATATAATAGATCTAGATCTACATGGAAAAAGAATCATAACTTGTGAAGAAATTGAAATAGAACATAATTGTGAACCCCCAAAAAAATCGACTCCAATTTTATTACAAGAGTTGTTAACCAACGCTGCTAATCAAGTTCCCAATTAATCGAAGTTAACAATGACATGTCTAAAGTGGAGATTCAAAAATACGAACACATGATGCATGCCACCTTAAGTTGATAGAAGAGTATATGTAGTTCTGTAAAAATAGCAAGGAGTCACATACATTGTCAAAAGACTACGGTTACTGTCATTTCTGCACTACCAAGTAGAACAAATTTAAGCTAACGACATTTTTCCAATTAAGTTGCATAATCAATAGAACAGGTCCACACTTTGATGAGCTAATGAGCATACTACAAGTTTACAATTTCCAACCGAGTGTTCATGATCACATAATTGTACCAGCAGCACAAGGCAGCTTAAGAAAATAAACTTTTCAACAAAACCAATTAGACAGAATCGATAAAATCATGCATCTAATGTTCTAATCTCCAATTTCCAGATGCCAATGCCTACACAATGTTAAGTTATGTATAATACACCAAACTAAATGAAATAGATTAAGGCTTACATAAATGATAAAAAAAATCTAACAACACTTGACTACCAGTCATTTACACCTTTGTTTGTAATCATGGTTCCAAAAAATATTTCAGATGACCTCATTCCCAAATTAACTACTGGTGTTGATACCACCACTAAATATTTTCATTTTCACCTTCCAAGCTTCCTAAAACTAAACAACTAACACATTCAGGTTCTTTGTCACCATACACTTACCTTTACAAAACAAGAACAACAAGCTTTTTATCACAAACTAGCAGCACATTATTACTTTTACCATTCTTCAGATTACATTTGTATTCTTTTATTAATTAACAACGTAAAATTCATGTTGTTCTGAAAGAGTTTAGGATGGTTGAAAATGAAATAATTTAATGGTACAATTGTTTTTTAAGTATATAATATTAACGCAAATGCAACAATAAACTCACCCTACCTCACTTCTGCTGAGGTTTGCTGAGGTTTGAACACTGACCTCCCGGGTGGCCAAAGACCCAGATGTACATTTGCAACTTAGTTCCAATACATTATACTAATAAATCATATGAATAGATAAGTTAACAGAGCCTAATAGATTATACCAAATAATCATTCGTATAGAGAAAAACAATAGACCATAAGCAAACCATAATAATCATTCGTTTAGCACATGCAATTAAGTTCACACAAAAACTACCAATTGCATTCATCAAGTACTTCTACCCGAACAAAACCATAAGCAAACTAAAAGTGCAAAGATATAGAGGCATTACCGATTGGAGATAAACTTGATGCTTATCCGCTTGAATCTGAGCAAGCTCAGAGCCACGTTCCTCAAGGGTGGAATTCAGTTGCGAGTATTGAGATTGAAGTGCAGAGAATTCAGATTTGAGAGAAACATACTTCTGTTCGAGAAGCGAGCAGGTCTGTTCAGCGGTGATGGATGAAGCATCGTATTGAGCTTTTTCAGTCTCGAGTTGATTGTAAAGTTCTCTAATGTAAGCGTCGGCTTTCTGCGCAATCAAAGATGGATCGTGGGAGCAGCGAGCGTACTCTTCGTCGGACAGAAATAACGTCATATCTTCCGGCAATGATCGACGATCTGTAGATGAAGGGAGATCATGTAACACAAACAGGAGATCAACGAAACCCTAACCCTAGAAGGAGGAGAAAGCCAAAAGGCCGAGGGGATTTTGGAGGGAGAGAAGAGGCTTTGAAGAAAGAAAAGCCCTAAACATCGACGTCGGTTGGGTGGTTCATGTGCCCCGAGTACACCTTTTAATTACAATGATGCTATAATGGTTTGTACGTTATGCATCAAAGGTTGTAATACAAAATTATTAAAACACTTCGCTGGTCAAATATTTTTATCAATACAGACTTTATTTTTTTATCCATACTATGTTATATTGCATTTGATAAAAAATTTTAAAAACTATTTTTTATATATTAAATATTGTTTAATGATGCATATTACTTAAATTCAAGATTACAAGTAAATATTGTGCAAGTACAACTTATTAAAATCTCATGCTTAAATTCGTACAACTAACTACAGATAAACATGATCAAATATTGGATAAACATTTCATTTTAAATATAAAAAATCTAAAATATAATTAAGACATCAATATATTATAACAAAATTCTTAATTATTATTTTTATAAAAAATAATAATATTAAATCAAAATAAATTAATTTGTTATTAAACTTAAATTGAGTTATTATAAATCGAAATGTATTTCGCTGCATTGCACGAGTACCTTTCTAGTAACTTAAAATATAAACATAAAACAATGTTATTTCAAGTTTAAAAAAATAAAATTGCGAATTACGGTTTTAGTGTATGTGATATGTCAAAAACAATGATCAAATTTTTATACTTTATTAATTATGAATAACGTCGTGACGATTGTCGTTTTTTTACGATTACAACCCCTCTCATTAATAAAGTTGAAAACAATCCGTTAACCCAGTTAAATTGTAGGTCTGTTTTGGTCATTTTTCTTATTTTATTATGTTCACATCAACGTATAAAAAGCTTTTTATACCAGAAGTATTGTTTATTGATTCATATTACATAAAACATTTTTTATACATGAAGTATTGTTTATTGATGCATATTACATAAAATTCAAGATTACAACTAAATTGTGCATATGTACGACTTATTAAAGCTTTATTTTTTAATTCGTGTAACTAACTGCAGATAAACATAATCAAATGTAGAATAACATTTCATTTTAAATATAAAAAATCTAAAATATAATTAGGATAATCATTGAGTTCTAACAAAATACATAATTATTAGCTTTATAAAAAAATATATTGTTAAACCAAAAATAAAAAATCAAGTTCAAGAAAAAACCAAGAAATTTTAAATAGTTTGTTTGGTATTAATATCAATATTTTTTTTGATATTTTGATATTTATATTTTATTCAAAACTTAAAAACATTATCCTTTTCTCAAAACCACATAAAACCATATTATAACATCGACTGAGACAGAAAAAAAATGAAAACATTAAAATCGAGATATAGTTTGTTGCATTATGCGAATACCCTTCTAGTTTTAATAATATAATTAATTTTGGAACGTAAGTTTGATTAAAAAAATTAACTTTTTGTATCTATTTTAAACAAACTATGAAAATATGTTAGAAATGTTTTAAGTTATTTGGATATGTTTTTTATATATAATAATTAAATAATATACTAAAAACACATTAAACACCTCTAAATTGATTGAAACATAAATATTAATATTTTAATACTGAAAAGATCACTATAAA